GAGAGGAATAAGCTGACTCTTAAAATGGGGGCTCATTGCTGGGTGAGATGTACATGAGAGAGAGAACACATGTCAGTAAGCTCTGCACAGTGCTGGACCAAGTGTGACTGTGTGGGTCTTAATCTGCTTCCTAGCATTGCCAGAATCACTCAACGATTTCAGGTACGTTCCTGTTACTAGAAGTTCTCAGCCAGATGCATCTTAAAATAGGCTCCCAGTGCTTAAAATTCCAGTCCCCGGCCCAAATTCTCACTGAGAGGGGTTTAAAAGGAATCAGAGGACAAGACCCCTTTAATGGACAAGACCCTTTAATTCCCTCTAAAATGAACTTGGAATGAAATTTGTGATTAAAAATGTGTACTGTCTGTACACTCAAACACCGAGTGCTCTAACGGTCAGTCAACGTTCAGTGATGTCCCATTGCTGTCACTCTCTGTCCTTGTCCCTCCAGACCCTGCCCCCACCTCTGCCTCTGTTCTCAGATGGATGGATTCGGACCTGCCTCCTCCAGTTTTTGCAGGGAGGCTCTGCCTAAGCACCCGGGGATTCCTTTGTTCCTCATGCTAAGTTCACAACACACTGCCTTTTCCTCCATACCTTTCACATAGGGGCTTCATCGTCCTCCTCCCCCTCCCCCTCCTCCCACCATCCTCCTCCCTCCCTCCTCCTCCCCTTCCTCCCATTGTCCTCCTTCTTCCTCCTCCCCCTCCTCTTCCTCCTTCTCCCCTCCTCCTCCCTCCTCTTCCCCTTTATCCTCTCCCTCCTCCTCTTCCCCTCCTCCTCTCCCTCCTCCTCTTCCCCTCCTCCTCTCTCCTCCTCTTCCTTCTCTATGCCTCCTCCTTCCTCCTCCTCCCTCTCCTTCTCTTCCCTCCTTCTCTCCACCCTACTCCTCCTCCTCCATTATCACCACTGCCACCTCCCACCACCAGTACCACCACCACCTTCTTTGATCTCTCTTGGACTATGCCGCCTTCTCTGCCCTCACCCCTACACTGCCCTTAAAGCTTCCCACCCTCCCTCACCCCCACATGGTTCCTCTCTGAAAGTGGATTCCCAGTCCTTCCTTTCTTGTCTAAGATTATTATTCAAAGTTTGTACCATGGGGTTGGGCCCGTTCATATTTCAATAGAACTGGTATTTTCCTCTCTATTTTTAGCTGTAAAAGGCTGTTCTCTCATATTACCATCTTTGTCAGAGTCGATGCTTCTGTAGTCAGCAGTTTCATTATCAGGGCATCACACAGTCTACTATAAAAAGGGAAGAGAACAGAGCCTGGCTTGTGACTGCTGTCCGCCCTGTCGGATCTGCGCTCCTGACCCTGAAAGCAGCTGGATGGCTCTGCAGGACCACCTGAAGTTCCTGGAAGCAGCGCAGGAGCTTTTCCATTTGGATGTTATTACAGAAGAAAAGGACAAGGAACCGAGTGACACAAACAGACCACTGGCCCAGGGTTCCCTGGGAGTCTTAATGGTCAGACTGCTCAGTGGAATGGATTGGCCCACATGAGGAAACAGGCTCCGAGAGACAAATTGATATGTCTCATACCACAAAAGCAGTGCCAGACTATGAAGGTAGCTCAGGGTGGAGGCTGGAGCCACGCTGTCTCAGGTGCTCAGCATTCGCAGGACCGGGATCCGTGGACTCTTCCCGAAGCTGCTGCAAGCTGCCTTGCTCTCCAGGGCTTGACACATTGCTGCCTTTCTCTAAGCTGAGTTCCCTTCCTGGTGATTTCTGCTCCCACTGAGGATGGCTCACTAGTACAACTCGGGCTTGCTGGGGACACATCCACTCTCTGTCCACTTCCACAAAAAGTTCAACTCTCGTTTTCTGAGCTCCTGGAATACCATCGGCTCTAGTGACACAGAGGTCAAGGGCAGGGTCCTCCCCACCTTAGTCTGGGGTGTGACCAGGCCTTTCTTTTACTTTCCCTGAGATCCCCTTTACAATGTACCCTAAAGAAATGTACACGGAGAGGAGTTCATCCTGCTCATGGACTCCAAGCCATAGTGATAGCTACTGCTGGAGGAATGGTGTCTTTTTTTCCAAGCCTCCAGGAACACTTACTTACCAAGCCTGAAAATTTGAGAGTCCATGCCTGGGGCTAGCCTACTGCCTCTGGCCGCCAGCAGAGAGCTCCTGGAAGCCTCTAGCAGGAGCCTTGAGATCGTGCAGACAATGCTGCCCTCTAGTGTCACTTCACAGTACTGCCATTCCTCTCTGGTCTGGAGCTGGGATCACAAAGCCTGGCGTCGGCCTGACAGGGAGATGTGAGATAGACATCTCTCATTGGCCCGAGGCTCACCTATTAGTTCAGGCTGCCTGCCAGTGAGCCCCAAGAGACCCGCTGGTCTGTGTCTCTCTAGTTCTGGGTTACAAGAGATTACCAGCTATCACACCAAGCTTTTTATGCAGACACTGGGGATTGAACTCAGGTCTACATGGCTTTATGACAGTTTATCTCTTCAACCTCAGATTTACAGAGATCCACCGGTCTCTGCCTTCTGAGTGCTAAGAACAAAAGTATGTTCTACTGTGCTCTACTACAGAATTGTTCTTTAATAGCAATGAACACATCCTGAGTTCAAGAAACAAAATAGGGGAAAAATAAACCTCAGGCCACCATCAGTCTTAGTGGCCAGTGGCAGCCTTTCTTCCCAGCTTAGTTCACACTTGTGACAGTCAACTGTAATGTACCTACGTGTCTATTTTGCAAGACTTTAAAAAAATACTAAAGAACTTATGTTTTGATATCTTTGATTATTCCTATAACAGTACATGCCTATTAGTGTTTGCTCAGAAATATCTCACATCTTCCAACCTCTCCCTGACCCCAGCCCCTGGTCCTTCCCCTACATACGAAGTTCACACAGCTTGCATGAGAGAAGCCAGAGGGCATATTTCTGTGGGATTGATCTGTAGGACTGAAGTAGTTAAAAAGGAGGCATGTCAGTTTTATAAATGTTGACAGACACTGTCAAACTTGTGCTCTGCTGTCGGCCATGCCCATTTTCCAGTAGGGCTGCAGACAAAATGCCGTGGGACTCTTGTCTCAGAGTATTGAGCATGCACCATGCCAGTCAGCATGCTATGCTAACTGTCATTACCACACAGGGAAGGAAGCCAGGCAGCATGCTATGTGAACCCTCGTTACCATGCAGGGAAGGAAGTGCTGTCTTCACATTACAACTGCAGGAACTGTGGTTTAAAGAGCTTAGCCTGCCTCAATTTAAGGAAGAGAGCTGAATCTAAGCCAGGAAGAGTCCAGCCACAGCCAGAATTCTCCCAGCCAGTGTGTCTCAGGTCTGTGTCAGAACCACTCAGGGTGTATGCTAATGCTGGCTAGGTCTATCTATAGTTTCTGATTCAAGACGTATAGAAAAGGCACGAGTATGGGTAGTTCTCAGTCTCCGGTGATGTGACACTGTCCCAGGAATCACACTGTGTTCAGGGACAACCATTGATCCCACTCTGGGACGTGGCAATGCTAAGCTTTGGCTTTGATTGGGTGTGATTTCAGACTCTGTGCTATATCTGTCTGAACAGACCCTTTCATGGTCTTTTGAGTGTTTCAGGTAAGGTCTGTGACTCTTTCTCTCTCTCCCCTTCCCTCCCTCCTTCCCTCTCTCTGGGATGTTATACATACTTGTTACTGTGTAGTGTGTACATGTGTCTGTGCACATGTATGCTTGTGTATGCATATGGAGGCCAGCGGAAGACTTCAAGTATCTTTGCTTGGTTGTTCTTCACCATTTTTTTCTTTGAAAAAGGGTCTCTCACTGAGCCTAAAGCTCACCAACTCGGCTAGGACGGTCAGCCAATGAGTTTCAAGGACCAGCTGTCTCTCTCCTTTGCACTGGACTCACAAGGTGCAATTTGAATATAGAAGATAACTAGTTCCTAGACAACACCATAACATATATGTACACGCACCCACACAACACATAAATCTGTTAGTGTTCTATTGGTAGGAAGAGACACCACGACCACGCAACATTTAATTGGGCTGGCTTACAGTTTGAGAGGTTCAGTCCATTATCGCCACGGTGGGGAGCATGGTGGCACACAGGCAGACATGGTGCTGGAGGAGCTGAGACTTGTATACATCCCAACCAGTAGGGAGGGAGGGAGAGGGGGATGGAGAGTGGGATGGAGAAAGAGAAGGGGGCTGTATCTGGCATAGGCTTTGAAACCTCAGACCCTATTCCCAGTGACAGACTTTCTCCAACAAGGCCATACCTCCTATTCCTTCTCAAGTAGGGCCACTCCCTAGTGACTAAGCATATGAGCTTTGGGGTCATTCTTATTCAAACTAACACAATAAATTTAAGAGAAAAAAAAATTACAACAGATCATTTCTCAGTTGCAAATTAGGACATTTCTCTGTTTAAAATGCCAGCCCAGGGCTAGAATCTGACAAATGAGCAAATTGACCTCAGCCTCACAGAGGTCTGGAGACAAAACTCACTTCCCCTCTCGGTTTACAATCAGTGCTTCTGGACTTACACTGAGTGAGGCTGGGGGTGTGGCCTCTGTGAACAGTGTGCTCTTTGTACATTTGTTTTCTGTTTTTTACTCATTATCCACCAGTCTAAAAAAGATTGCACAGAAAAGCCCAGAGACCAACAATCCGTGTGTTTTAAATAACTTATAACATTGTTATAGCTCATGTCTCCTTATTGCCAGTTATCACTGTTATCTGTGTCTAAGTTATCAATGATATTTCACCACTAGTATGAAAATACTGGACAAAAAAGCCTACTCTTCAGAGGGCTGTTTCAGGTCTCCTTTGGGCATCTCTGAGCATGTTGGCTGTGGAGAGAGGGATACCGCTCCTGTGAGGTTCAAGAGGTTGGATCAGCAAACCAAAGCAGAAATACACTGTTTGTTAAGGGACAGATACTAACAGCAGATGTTGCAACTGGGTTATTTGTGATACTCGGATGAAGGCAGAGCAGGTTACAACACTCAAGCTGCATGTTTCACAGACAAATAAGAGACAGTTTATTTTCATTCTGCATTTATTTATTTGACAGTTCATCCAGTTTAACTGAAATCACATGACTCTGATATTGGCAATAGACCTCACTAATACTGATAGCTTCTAGCCAGTCACACACACACAATTCTATCTCACGTCAGAGAAATATCAAGAAGTCACTGCACAACCTTGTTGCACTTCACGTGGCTTTTTTCTTCAGGAAAAAAATGTATTTTTAGAAGATCAGCAAAGATTGCCAATTTTTGTTCATTTGTTCTTTTTTTTTTTTTTTATAAATCATGATTAAACCACAGTGAGTATTCCTATACAAAAGCATTAAGAGACCAAAACTTCACAAAACAAATTTAAAAGAGCCCAGCTCCATGTCTACTGCACATTTCTCACTGCCTGGGCTGACACTGGGTGTCCATCTCCCAACTAGCTACTTCACATCCTCAGAGCTACACACACACTGGGGCAAGGACTCTGAGCTCGGCTGGGTGGGCAGACCTCAAGGCCTTCAGCTTCTTCTGAAAGCATCCTTTAAGCACCTGTGGACTCTGCCTTGAACTCCAGGCTCTCACCACCATTTAAACAGAAGCACTGAAGACAGCGAGGCTCATCCGAGGCCAGAGTGTCGCAGGGAGACACTGCATTTCAGGTAGTTTGGCAGTCAGCTCTGTAGAAGATTCCAGCAGCATAGGGGAGAACTGAGAGCCTCAGATTCATCCATCCTTTTAGAGAGAGAAGCACAGACACAAGGCACACCATTTTTTCTTTACGAGGAAATTTGATCTGGAAACATTATTGGGAAAAAGAATCTACAGAAACTAGAGAGTCTCTTATTTTTTTTTTTTTTGTGGTTGTTTTTTCACGTACAAATCTCTGAATTAACAATGATTGTCACTCAGTGTAACAAGTGACTTGTCTATGACATGGAACAGCCACAGATTTCCAAATCGACCTCAGCTACACCGAATACATCACATGTAAAAATCACTACAGAGATGTTGACATGCCATCAAGCTTTGTGGTCTTCACACAGGGTGAAACGCAGCAGTGTTCACAGATGCTGGACTAGTTTATGTAGTTTCTTTGTATCTTCTTGAAAGCGGAAGAATTCTACAAGGATGGCAACAAGAAAAAAAAAAAAAGGAAAAGAAAAAAAAAGGCATACAGGGACTATGGTTTCACTTCTGAAAAAAAAACCAGTCACACAGTCAATGCCATATTGCACTGGTACTGAATATACTCCTAAAACCTGGCATTTGTACATTTCAGTTAATTATTTGATGGAAATTTATGATTAAAGTACCATGAGGTAAGATTAATATTTTAAGAACACTAAACAAGTTGAAGAGTTAACCAAGAGAAACCAGGACTGCATGGAAAGTCATTTCCCCTGATCTAAGGCTGACTTCAGGAAGGCGTATGGAGTGTTGATGTTCTGAACCTCAGTTTTTTTTTAATTGAGGTTGCACTTTGGACGGGTCCATTGCCAAACTGGAGACAAAGTTTCCTTAGTATTTAAATTTGGATATTTAGTCTTAGATCTTTAGTGTTTTCCCAGTTCATTGCTGAGACCTCTGTGGAAGAGAAATAGAAAATGAACCTGGTAGTTGAGCAGGTAACCTTTCCAATGATTGACAACCATTGTTTACTGAGTGTGTAACTGGAGCGTCTTTGCTATGCCTACCAGTGCTTTTGAAAGCTTACGGTGGGGGCTTAGGAAAAAAATGGTGTCATTAAAATCTACCAGAAGGGTATTTTTTTTTGTAAATTACAACATGATTCTACTGCCAGGCTCCTGACCAGCAGCTTGACTCTAACGCAGATCTTGCAGAGGCGTCTGTAGCTGGGAGTGCCCTGGCACACGTATGTCCTCACTGTAGTGGCTTCAGGAGGCTCACAGATGGCTCTGGCCTCCGGCACTTGATCTTGGCTTCACAAGCCCTTGTTAAAGTACACACGTCGTATTTCAGGATGATTCCTTTGGATGCTGGCTTGCAACTCATCCTCCAAGCTTGTCACAGACATGGAACTGGGACAAGGTAGAAGGAAGAAGGAAGAAGGTTATCACATGGGCAAGTATGGGAACCCTGAGCAAGGAAGAGCAGGGAGAGGGCGCAGATTCAGAGACACGGGGCTGGTGCATGACACACACCAGAAAGGTTGCACAGCAGCAACCTGTTCTCTTCAGAAACAGCCATCACTAACTAAGAACTGTAAGAAACCAGTTCCTGAGCCTGTTTACCTCTTATTTCTAGCTGAAAATGTCTCATTGCTGGCAATGATACTCACAGACTTGGATGGCCACAGCACTGGGACTGTAGACAGCTACCCAAGCGAAGAGCAGAGCTGTGGTCAGGGAATCCACACTAGTGGATGAGCGCTACATATATGCCTGTCTATGGCTCCAATGAAACGAGTCATGAGCCATGCTAAAGGTAAAGCAAAACCTTGCAGGAGGTAGCCTGATTCTCAAAAAGGTTAAAATGTTCCCAAATATAACGAACAGTAGGGGGCAGACAAACCTGGGTACACTGGGTCATAAGGCCCCACAGACCAGAGCTAGCCCTCCAGCCTCTTCCTTTTAGAGGTGTGGGCTGCCAGGGCCCTTTAGAGACCCAGTTTCTTATCACTGAAATCAAATAACTGCACTTGTATCCCCAGCTCGTTTTTAGGATCAAAATTGAATTTAGGACAAGAATTCTTAAAAAATATCAGCACCTACCTCTTCTGAGGAAACAGAGCACAGCACAGCGGGGTGGCGAACACCAAACTTAAAAAAACAAAATGAAATAGCAGGTCAGCAGGCTGAAGTGGTCACTTCCGGCTTCCTTTTTTCTATATACGTATTTTAATAACAACCTCTTTCCTCTCTTTAGAGTACAAGATTGCCTTACAAATACAGACTGTTGGATCACCAAAATGACAAGCAAAAGTAACAAAGCCATAGGGTTAGCTGGAATTTACAGGAGAACACCTAAATAGCCAAATATATAGCTTCCCATACAGATAGTTTCTGTCTTTCTAATTATTGGAATTCTAGGCACTCGGGGTTGGTGCCATTTTCAAAAGTTTTCTCTTGTATCACCCAACCTTCCATAGGCACTAATAATAACTATATACGTGTAATTTCTGTGTTGACTATCACGATCATATACAACACACAGACCTATTGAATAAATACATGTACAACAATAACAGCAGTAGTCAGTATTTTACAAGGGTAATTCCCACTTACCAAAAGCCAACCAACGTGACTTGAATGGGCGCACTCATCCACGGGAACCTCTGTGTTGAGAAAGACACAAGCGTGAGTACTTTTCATGTGCTTCTTCAAGGCAGTGTCCTCTGCTGACATCCACATGGTGGCAGTAGTGAGATCCAGGGCAACAGTGCCACACGGGTTAGTCCCGACTTCATGGACACGTGCGATGACCAGGCAGCAGCCATTACAACCCCAAGTGTTATTTGTCTTTGTGCACGAGGTAGGGCACCAGCTTGCAGCATTTATTTATGGTTTATCTGCCACTAGAGAAGCAGAGAAGCCCAACATGCAAGCTTGAAGAGACACGAACTTGCACTAAATCTCTGCCTCGCCACCACTGACTACTGGAAAAAGCAGGCAGAAACCAGGGTTTGTTAGGATGCAAAATAAGAGTCCCTCTAAGGGTGGTGATGCAGACAAACCAGGAACCCAGGACAGTGATCAAGTATGAAAGGAGCCTAGCAGACACCATATTCCACGTGCTTGCACATTCTTTCTTGGATTTAGCTGCTGTCAGTAGGTTAAAACTATTTTCGGAATTAACTATCTTTGCCAGGCAATGAGGGTGTGGGTTGGTATTTGAGAAAGTAAACACCGTTAGATCCTTAGTTTTTAAAAGAGGAAAACATAACACAAAGTGCGATAGGATACAGGGTTGTCTAAGTAAGAGCACAGACACTTCTGCAAGAGCTGTCTGTGAGTTGGCTGGGATGTAATCAGACACCTCAGTTCCGAGTCACGCAGTTGTCGCAAGATCCGTGCATAGGAGGCATACCCTCGTGCCCGAGGAGACTCCTTTGGTGAAAGGATCATCAGGAAGGTCAACATGGATGGAGGAAAAGGAGGAAGGAAGAGGAAGGGAAAATGTTATCAAAACAAAACCAACCCAAACAGGCTATGCTGGGGCACCTTAACCCAAAAGACCGAACAAGCAAATTACTGTCATGTGTCACTTAAAGACAGGATATATTTTGAGAAGTGCATCCAGGGGCCAGGCTGTCTGGGTACTTACTGCCACCCATTCCTAAACTCAGGTTGCTGGGCTATAGGATTTTAACACATATGGTCCTCCTTCCTCCATGCAAATAACTTTTATGTTTAATGAGAGATTTTCACAGGGAGATGATAAATTCTCACCCAAGATCCTCCGGGACATGAGACTCCCAGGATGCACCTGGCCATAGGGATGGGACAGCAGGTTAACTGATGAGTGAGCTCATAAGGGTGGATAAACTTCATCCTGTAAGACCAGGCCGTCATCTCTAGTGGCCTCTTGTCTGCTTAAGTAAACAGAGCCAGACTTATCTAAAAGAGTACACTTATGTCACCTCAGGATAGATACGCACACACTGAAGGCTAGCTTAGGTTGAGGGTTCTTCATAGTGACAGGGACGCTGGAAAATTCTGACTTGCTTGCAAAACCAAACTCAACATCAGCCCTATTCTTGACTCTGTCTCCACTACCCCATCCTGCTTGTTCGTCAAAGAAAATTTGGCCTGAGTCCCAGAAATGAGTGAACTGAGGATGTTCGATCTTTTACTAAACACACACACACACACACACACACACACACACACACACTCCTTCAGGGTAAGGACATGTCTTTCTTAATAGGCTATAAAAGGGGGTATATTATACGAAAAACTTCAGATGAATCGAAGAAGGCACAGTAAGATTAGAAGATATATATCGTCAGGCTAACATGGTTGTTTCTTGATGTTAATGTGAGTCTCAATTCCTTTCCCCTAATAGCTCCCTTTCCATTAAATTTATTGGCACGCAATCAACATTATTAATCAGTTAATGTGTACAATGTAATTTGTGACCTATATACACAGTTATGATACTGTCATCACAATAAAAATAATGAGACCGTCTATCATCTTAAATGTTTTCCATGTTACTCATGCCCTTCAGAGATTTTTCTCCTTTCCTAGACTCTGTCCCCTGGTAAAGTTGTAGCTTTGATCTCATTATATATTAATATTCCCTAGGATTTGAGTTTACATTTTTTTTAAGAGTCTCATATAGCCCAGGGTGGCCCAAGCAAACTCATTACAGAGCCAAGAATGACCTTGAACTGGTCTTCTGATCTCTACCCCTCAACGGCTGGCATTACAGGCACACATTACCAGGTCTGAGTCTAGGGTTTTTATATAGAATGTCTATGTTTTTGTGTTGTTACTTTGGAAATTATTCATGATGCTGCATGCATCAATAATTCATTGTTCTTTACTGACAAGGTAAGAGGTAAGAACTATTCCACTGAATGGGTTGATACTTTCCTTTCCAGTTGACTTTGTTCCCAGTTGGAGGCTGATATAAACAAAGTAGCAATAAACTTTCTCCTTTATGGGCATTTGCTCTCATTTCTTTTAGGGAAACACTTAGAAGTGGCTGGATTGCGCTGTAGCATATGTTTGTATAAACAGCTAGCATAGTTTCCAAAGTGGCTGCATTTTTTTTTTTTTTTTTTTTTTAATGGCTACCAGCAAGCTCGGAGAGCTCCAGTTCCTGTCCAGACTCGGTAACACTCATTAGTGTTAACTGAGAACTTTAGCTATTCCAACAGATATTTCATGTGGTTTTAAATTTGAATTTCCCCAGTGACTAAAAAATTCCAAGCATTTTCCAGGTGCTATTTGCATATGTGTAGTGAGGCTTCTGATGAACTAACTCCTTTGCCTATTTTTTGCATTGTGTTATTTTCTTCAATGAGTGTTTTATGTTTTTAACAAAATTCTTGATTTGCTTTCTTACCAAAAAGAGTTTCTTTGCTACTTGTCTTAGCCCACGGGTTTTGAAAGAGAATTTAAAAGTGTTTTTGAAATAGTCTAATTTTTATTTTTTTCCCCTTTGGTCTTGTTTTTTTGTTTTTATTTTTGTTTTTTTTTTTACATATTTTTAAAGATTTATTTATGTATATGCGTACACTATTGCTCTCTTCAGACACACCAGAAGAGGACATCAGATCCCATTATGGATGGTTGTGAGCCACCATGTGGTTGCTGGGAATTGAACTCAGGACCTCTGGAAGAGCAGCCAGTGCTTTTAACCACTGAGCCATCTGCCCAGTCCTCCCCTTTGGTCTTGTATTCAAAGAAATCTTTGCCCCAAACAACGGTATTTTCTTTTTACAGTTGAGTTTTTACATTTAGCTGCCATAAACTGTGGAGAGGTAATTTGCATACAGGGTAGAATCAATTCCCTCTGCATAACCCAACCACCCACAAGTCCCCATGAAGCCTTGTTCTCTTCTCAGTATGCTACTGGACCTGTGCTACAAGCTGGTCCTCTGTGAGTCTATGTCAACCACAGCTCCTCTGCATTCTCTGCTGCCCCAAGCTGAAGTCACCCAGCGCTGTGGCCTCTGGTCCTGTACCTCACTCTTGCACCGAGAGCATGGTCTACACCCTGCTTCTCTGATTTCTACTTCTGTGATTCTACTACCGAACACTGCTTACCATAGGCATCCAGCAAAGGGCTCAAGACTAAATACTGTCTATGAATAAATAAAGAACGTCACACTCATGTCCTTTAGGAAACAATTGCAAATAGCTACTGAGCACACACAGCAGTCTGAGCAGTCTGTTTTTAGGGAAACATAAAAAATCCAGAATGAAAAGTCCTAAGAATGACATTGGGACCCAAACCTATCAGTTTTACTCCCAATGAAAGTACCAGGCAGCTGAGGCCTATCCTTCAAGACCGCTATTCAAGAATACATTGTAATTTAGGCAGTGAACTTCTGGTTCGCTGTACGAATTTTGATGAGTCACCAGCCCATAGCTGGTTTGTTTTCCCAGCCTTCCATTTGGAAAAAGATAAGATGTGGGGAAGGATGAGTCATGTTGAATGTTCCCCAAGAATTGTTTAAAAAGCTGAGAATGTTCAATTCGGTTTCACATTCGTAGAGGAGTTTGGTCATCACAGAAAAAAAAAATCTGCATTTCCAAAAATGATGAGACAATGTTTCAAGCTCTAAAGAGGAACGCTGATGTATTCTGCCCCAGTGTACATTTGCATAATGGTCACACTATTAAAGATGCCCCAAGTGCAAAGATAATACCTAAGTAGAACTTCACCCTTGAACTTGGGAGAGGTGCATATGTGTGGGTCAACTTTAAACTTGGAGTGCTGCACATATGTGGTTCTTTCAAGGACACTTGGCTTTGACGGTTTCAAAGCAGCGTGTTCCATTGGAATTGGACAGAATTCAGCTACAGCCAGACTCTCTGTAGCTACAGAGGCTCACGAAATGATCCAGAACTATTCTGACCACATCCAGAACTACTTTGTCACCAGGATTCCAAAGCCAATGGCCCCTTGGGGATTGTGATGGAGGGCTTCTGAGGAAGAGTGAGTGAGGTGGGATACTTCCAAAATACAGAAGCTTTTGGACACAAGTCATGCTGCAACCTACAAAGTAAGATGGGTGGAGGGCAGCAATGGTTCAGTGGGTGTAGACGCTCACTGTGTAAACCTGGCGGCCTGAGTTCAATCCCAGGAGTGGACAGACAGAAAGAGAAGTAACCCCAAAAAGCTGTCCCCTGGCCTCCATGTGTGTGCCCACCCCCATACATACATACAACAATACATCTTTAAAAATTAAAAATGGTGAGCTGGGATGACCATGACATGTATGTCTTTTTAAGTATGTAGAAATGTAGGATGATGCGGACCATGTGGAGAGTGTGGACAGTGTGGCCCTGATGAGTGGAGTGCTTGTTTCATCTAATGTCTTTCTTGTAAGAAATTGTCAGAGAGCCACGGGTCACCTTGCACACATGGCTAAGTCCAAGAACCACACCACACACAACCAGTCCTGCAAATGGCACAGAAATGGCATCAAGAAACCCCGGTCACAAAGATACAAATCTCTTAAGGGGGTTGACCCCAAGTTCCTGAGGAACATGTGCTTTGCCAAGAAGCACAACAAGAAAGGCCTGAAAAAGACGCAGGACAACAATGCAAAGGCAGTGAGTGCACGCACAGAGACCATCAAGGCCCTTGTGAAGCCTCAGGCCATCAAGCCCAAGATGCCAAAGGGCCCCAGCTGCAAACTCAGCCACCTGGCTTTCATTGCTCACCCCAAGTTTGGGAAGCAGATTCGAAGCTACATGGCCAAGGGTCGTAGACTCTGCCAATCAAAGCCCAAGGTACAAACCAAGACAGAGGCTCCCAAGGGTGTCCAGGCCCCTGTGAAGGCCTCACAGAAAAGGCTCCTGTCAAGGTGAAGACAGATGGACTGCTGTGACTCACCTACCCATGCACTATTTGCAGATGTCCAGTGTCCTATGCTGTTTTTACAAATAAATTTGAGGCAAGAAAAAAAAAAAAAAAAGGAAGAAATTGTCAGGATATATACATCCAGAAACTTCATCTATCACAGCCAGAAAAATGTACAATAAGACTAACTTGATCTTCTGTCCAGTGCCTGCCATGGTAAGATTGGAGTTACTATGGTAACCATTCCAACACTGAGATCCCAGGAGTTCAAAGGCATGAGTGAATTAGAATACCAAAGAACTGACTTGATGTCTCAGTACCCCCACCCCCACCCCTCCATGGCCATTTGTCCTCCATCAAAAAGATACAGACTTTCTTATGAACAGATGCAATTCCAAGCCATGATATCAGATACACACTGGCAGCCAGCATGCTCTGTGTCCTCAGCTGGAGTGAGACTGAATAATGTCCTTCCTAAAATGATGAGATTCTCAGCTTCTACGTCACCATCAAGCTGTGCATTATGCATTGTCTGTTAGTGGAGTCTCCCGTTTAATATGTTTGGACTGTGGGTGACCCTATATAACTGAAGCATAGGTGTTTACTGCTAACTGGGTGTGGGGTGATTCCAGGAAAGCTTACACAGGGTGATTCTGCTATTGAAGGCAGCCTGCAAGCTTTCCACAGCGACACAAAATCATGAGGACCATGACCTGCAGATCAGACTAGCATTGACTATTCTTTCTTTGCAAAAACTGTTACTTTTATGAACAGAGATGACAATAGTCAAGAAATCTAGCCACGCTTTATATATATATATATAAAATTTTAAATTGTGTTTGTGTGTGTCTGTATATGGGTATATGTACATGAATATAGATGCCCCAAGAGGTCAGAGGAGGGCGTTGCATCTCCTGGAGCTAGAGTTACAGGATGTAGGTGCTTGGGAGAAGGACATGAGTCCTTGGCAAGAGCAGTCCTAACCACTAAACCATGCCTCCAGGCCTAGCCTTGCTTTTAAAGGCTGATAATCACTTGCCATTGGCAGGATGGGATATTTAAATATGTTCTCGATTCTCTGTTATTTTCAAACTTACCTATGCCAATGCTTTAAGATAGGACCAAGTGAGCTAAAAGGCTGATTGGGTCAACGTACATCCTCAGTGTGGATGATGAAGATCTGGTGCCTTCCCAGACCCAGAGCTGGCAGAGAACAGCTCAGGACACTGACTCCATGTCTGCTGTGTGGTCAGGAGGCTCCCTTACCACACCATTTCCTCAGAGTCTGAATCTGCTCCTGGACATCAAGCAGAGACGGACAGAAGAGGGAGCATGGATTCGTTTTTAGATTATCTAAAAGCCATGGAAATTTCTGATGAGCAAACTGCATACGATGCCATCATCTGGTAGTTTATAGATAGAAGTTTTATGTCATTTAATATAAACTATCAACCTTGGAGAGTGTCAAGCCTATCACGTACCACGCTTCTGCTTATACATGGTTTCCAACGACCATATCTAACATAAATCAGAGACAGAGTTAATAATAGCAATATTGGCAGTAGCTAGTTATATAATTATTAGTCCTAAGTATAATAATTATCACAAAATAGTATAATGAAACTGCCAGGATCTTTACCTGCCTGCCCTTTGGGGCCATTACTGAATAATTAAGGGATACTCAGAAGCAAGAACTATGGAACTGTGGCAGCTGATGTGAGCAGAGAGGTGGCTGCCTGTGGGACCATGAAAGGATAGCATGGTTTCTGGTCGAGCACTTGTTAGAGATGGTCAGAGACCCAACAGGTATCCCTGCAAGGGACAGCATGCATTTTGCCATGCTCCCAGACTACAGGCTCCTGAGAGGCCGAAGACTTCCATTGATCTGCACCTTTCAGTCATGTAGGGCAATGCCCCTACCAGTCCCTCCACAGGTAGAGGGTGTGACTACAGGTTGCAGAGCCTCAAGAGATCTCCATATTAATGAGATACCCAAAGGCCAGAGGGCATAGCCAATTAAGCATAAGGTCTTCCCAGACCCTCTTCTCCGTAAAAGATTTTTAACCTCAGGACTGCCCTGAGGATGGGGGTGGGGGTGGGTTACAGCTTCATCCACTTTCCACCAGGACAATAAACCTTTTAAAACCATGGAGTTCCTCTCATCTTTGGGGCCCAGCATGGAGAACTGTGGAGGGGGCCTTCGACTACCGAGCCACTGCTGCCTAATCACCCGCCTGGAGGACTTCTTTATGTCCCAGCCACGAGCCCTGCCAACTCAAGCAAGCTAGCCAGCTATGATCCAGCCAAGCAAGTTGCCATGACCAAGAGTTTCCACCACGCCCGTATGCCCCCGTGTCTCAGTTCTTCTGCGGCTCCCAGTGCCATCTGGGAGCCCAAGGACAGAGACCAGCTGGTCTCCATCTAGCTGCTTTGGCCCAGAGACCCCCAAACCAGGAGCTCTGCCCCCATGGGACTTCAGGCTGAGACCTCTCCATGCCCAGGTGGAGCCTGGTGGCTTCTCATAGTCCAGCGTCTGCCTGGTGCCATGTGGAGTGAACTCAGTCAAATTCCCATGCTTCTGCTCCCTGAGCCATGTTCCAGCTGCCTGGGGCAACAGACTCACGGGAACTATAACTCAGCCCAACAGGACCCATGCCCCCACGAGCCACAGCTCCCAAGCTGCCGAGTGCCTAACAGGCAGATAACGTGAACAGCATGGACACCCTTGCACAAGAGGCTGATTTACATTCTAGATGGGATGCAGAGGACCATTCAGAAAGGTTCACTATTTAAAATGTATGCATTGCTGTTTTGTGGAATTTTCCATTTAGTATTTCTGGATGTGGGTGACCCTAGGTAACTGAGACCTAAAGGGATCCACTGCCGTGCTGACAGGCTCACTGCTTAAGTATGAGCTACTGCTTTTGCCTTTTTGTTAACTTGAGGCTAAGGCAGCCAGCAGCCTCCTGGGTATGGCTTTCTGGAGAAGCTGGAGGATTTCTTCTGACAGTGCTCCAAGAATGAAGAGACATTTTGTCAGTACACAGTGACTCTGGCACTATTGTACATTGCCACATTAGAGTGACAGAGCCTTGATGTTTCAGAGAGTATAGCTTGGGGGTTTTAATTCTCCACATCCCCAGAGGTTCTGGGAGCATGGCTGAGAGTTCCTTTCCCTTACAGGAGCCCAGTGAGGTGTTCACACTGTCTCTTCACAGCGTGTTTTCTTGGCTTATACAGAGAAAGTGTTTATGAAATGTCCATCCATCATTCGGACTTCCTTCTCCTAGGTACCCAAATGGAGTACATGTACCTATGAATATACATAATGACCTCATCCAGAAGCACTTGGCCTGGATCCCTTTTCTGAACTTTTATGCACGGCACTCCCTTGTTTTTACAGTTCTGCTTTTGAGACTCAAATGGTTCACCCCAAGGGAGTTGCTGTGCTCACCCCCTCCTCCACAGAGGCCCAGGATCTCTGTTCCTGAGTATATATATCTCCAAACACAGCATGCTATGAAAGAGCCGTCCCAACTGGGCTAATCCTTGAACCTCTAAAACACAATCTGGAGGGCATAAAGAAGGCCTTCAGGGCAAACAGTCGACAGATTAATAAACTTTTTGATGCGACTACCAAAGAGCAATACTAAATTCAATGATCCATGAAGCTACCTCTCCAGATCTTTCCATTTCCAGTGTAACTTCGCACATTCCAAAGTCCCGGCCATCTTCCCAGTTTTACCCAGCTAGGCATGCAGTGGATAGCCAGGTGGACAGCCTTACCACCGCAGAGTGGAAACACGTTCTCAGAAGCAACTTTGTAACTTTCCAAGGGAAACTGACCTTTCAGCTGTCACTTGGAAGCAACTTTGTAACTTTTAAAGGGAAATTTGTAGGAAACCACAAAGTTGGCCTGGCCTAGCTGCATCGAGAGGCATGCGCCACAGGTTTTTCAGGGTAGAGTCCCTGGCTCCTGGGGCACTGTGTACCTTCAGGCAGTGAAGTGTTGTGTTTCTCTGTATGTTCCCTTAGAAGTCAAGGAAGCATGGAAGCTGGACAGGACATTTCAGACATTAATCTTGTATACTCTCAATAGTTTGCAAAGGCCATTGTATCCTGGCAACTACAACTGTATCGATCCTGGCAATTGTTACTGTATTGTTTCTGATAAGGGTATAAAAAAAATCTGGTTGCATTCAATAAACTTGTCACAGTCTCAGAATTTCCAAGGCTGCTCCAACCCAAGCCTGGTTTAATTTCTTGCCAGCCACATCAGGTAACCTTGGCTCAATAAGTAAGCAAGGGGAACTCACAGTCACTCAAACCATTTGGTGGAAAGTCTGAAGAGTATTGAAAAGGACTCATAGCTGGCCGTGGTGGTGCACAACTTTGATCCCACCACTGGGGAGGCAGTTGTAGGTAAATCTCTGTGAGTTCAAAGTTAGCCTGGTCTACATATTGAGTTCCAGGACAGTCAGGACTATGTAGAAAAACCCTGTCTCAAAACAAACAAACAAAAAACAAACACAGGAAAGAAAAGAAAAGAAAAGAAAAGAAAAGAAAAGAAAAGAAAAGAAAAGAAAAGGACTCATAAAACAACAGCAGAAGAACTCGCCTTACCTTCAAAAAGGCTTTCTTTTCCAAGGTGTTCATGATAAATGGAGGAATGGCTGTAATAAAGACAGGGCCACTTAAACCTCTACTTACTATTGCCTGTTTTCAGCTGAGTTTCCCCAAACTATATGATATAGAACGCTGTCCCTTTTAGGCTAATTTTACACTGGCAGAATGAAATCTACTGGAGCAATCTTTAAATGATTACATTTAGGCTTACCAATTGTTGTATGTCAGATGCAAGTTGAACTATCCCAGCATGCCTCACAGGTTTATCCAACAGAAATAATAATTAGGGAGGAACTGGGGGCTTAGGGACGGCTAAGTGGTTAAGATGTGTGCAGCTCTCAGAGAGGACCTGGTTTGGTTCCCAGCACCCACCCACCCACACCCAGCACACCTGGACACTCACAAATCGCCTTTAGGACTTTAGGTCCAGGGACTCTTTAGGTTTTACAGACATGGCTGCATGCATTCAGCATACATACAATATGCACATACATAAAAATAAATACTTTTTGTCTTAAATTCATAATATTAGACACCAGGAATGTTTTTCCTTCTTTGTCAACAAAATAAATGTTATTTTCCTTAGGTGTCTACCATGCAGAGAAGGCAGCTGGAAGGGTACTGCTTTGGCTCAGATGAAAACTGCTCAGGCCATTTGAGGTACCTTGCCTGCTGGGGGTCCTGGAACACTTACCCAATTTCTAAGAGCTTCAGTTTTCTGTTTTCCCATTTATGAAACAGGGACCATTACATTAACCTATACTGTGGGAGGTGGCACCAGCTCATTAGCTCAGAGCTTTTATCAGTTTAACAACGCGTTGACTATTTTAGCACACCCATGACTCTCACAGATGCTAATGGCACAGAGAGACTGGGTCTTCTATGGGGATGAAACAGTATGGAAAACAACCAAGCTTCTGGAAGCATGGGGGCTGAGCTGGCTGACTCTGGGAGGAGGGCATTTCAAAAAATGGGAAAGACTCAAACCAAAGCAAATTCGAGTGGAAGCTGAGGCGCAATGCTGTTTTCAGTCTGGAAATCAGGGCTCCAGAGGTGTGCTGGGGGCTCAGAGCCTTCTTTTTGGCAGTGACAAGCACCCTGGTCTTGGACTCAATGGACTCTCTGTATGTTGCAGGACTGTAGTTTCCTGGATACCTTCACAGACCACACTGGCATCCCACTAGAGTACAGAGGGGTTCTTCTGTTCGGTTAGACAAAGGTGATCTCCCCAAGTTAGCTGAATTGCAGTACTGCTTGTCTCTCAGTATCGACAGGGGACTGGATCCAGGACTCCTTATAGGTACAAAGTGCATGGATACTCAGTCTTCACAGCTGGGGTCATCTCTAGGTGACTTGCAGCTCACAGTTTAACATAAATGATGTGCAAATAATTACATTGTATCATTGAGGGATTGAGTGTGTTCAATCCACAAGTGTCTTCCTTTGTGAAGGTTGGCTGGCTTTTTGGATGCTGAGCTGCATAGACACAGGGTCAACTGTAAAACCTCTTCAGCTTTGCTTCCTGCACTTTTCTTCAATCCTTGTTGCTCATTCAAACTAGCCAGCTCAGAGCATCATAGGACAACAGTCAAAATATCAGCATGCAACCCAGGCAGCAGCTGACAGACACACTTCAAGTGAGAGCATCTCCTAATAGCCAAGTACTATTTACCCTGAGCGCAGGTGAAGATGTTCAAGCACATTAACTCCTAGCTTCTTCCCTTTGTTTATCCTGCAGAGAATGCGGTCACTCCCAGGCCATGTGATTCTAAGTGTCTGAGAACCTTCTCTAGGCCCTCTGAGCAGCCCACTGGGTAGACAGGAGATTCTCAAAAAGTCTTAATATGACACAGATGTTCTCTCAGTACATGCTGACCCCACACATTTAAATACCAGAGTAGCGGTCAGGCACACATTTTTCTAAAAGCTGTTCTCAGCGTGACCATTGCTTGCTGCCTGTGGTGCTGAGACAGCCTCCTGGACAGTCTCCACTCACCCCTGCAGCACTCCTTTAACCCAGTTTCACATAGCACCCACATTCACATGATTACCATGTTCAAAACTGTGCATGGTCCTCTATCACTCAGAGCTTGCAATGCCCCAGTACCCAACCACAGGGTTGGTCCCAGGAGCTGACTCTAGTCTTTGAGATCTCTTAAAACCTTCTCTATCCTCCAGCTGTACCTGCCTTTGGAGAATGCCTCCCACACAAACGGCAAACTCCTGGCTCCCACTGATGCCCTCTCTTCCTGCCTCCCTGCTGATGCCCTCTCTTCCTGC